GTATTTGACTTCAATTTATTTTTTATCGATGAGAATAAACTGGATGGCCACATCTAACTGCAAGGGAGACTGGAAGATTAGCATGGTTCTATTCCTAGGAGGAGGAAGAAACACTTTTTGGTGAATAGTTAGCCATACAACTTCCTACTCACCAATTACCCATATTTATCCTTCGTATAACACACTTACATCATATTACAAGGGAGACAACCCAAAGTCCTCTCCATATACTACATTCAGTTCACGCTGCAGTATCTCAAGGTCATACAGAGTCTTCTTTATTGAATCCAGATGTGATATTTCATGGTCTAATGACTTATTAACTAAAAGACAATTTATTGGCCTCACCCATACCTACAATCTCTCAACATGTAAATACACCTCACATCTTAAAAGGCTTGGCCTAGACATGTTAAACATCATTTCATTTGCAGCCCATTGGCAGGAACTAGTTACAAAACCACATTAAACTGCAATGGAAGTTAAAATATGTAGCCTAAGACAAAAGAAGGCACTTAATTTTGATGAACATATAACAAAGCTATCAGTTGCTGGCACCTAATCTAAGCTGAGAAATGACCCGCAGGAATAGAAAATTAAGACCCAAAATTATACTGAGTATGAGGCATGCTTACAACATTTTGTTTCTGAATGATCAATCAGTACTAAGTAGATTTTCAAAACAGTCTGGGAGTCTGAGGGAGTACTTTCACTTTGTGGTGGAGAAGGGCAGAGTGTCATTTTCAATTGAAGCATAAAACTAAAAAGCGAGGAAAATGACACTTGTTTATAAAAAATATCTAAGTGGATGAGGGAAGAAGTCTTCAGCATTGTGGGGGCACATAGATTTCCAAGATTCATTCTGGATAGTATAGGGGCTATGTTTAAGACAACAAGTCTAAATTAGATCTCAGCACCTGGTGGATGAGAAATGTTTAGGAACAGATAAGAACTGATCTGATGACATTGAACTTCTTCAGGTTAAGCCAAAATTAAATGGCTCACAAAAGATAGGGGCAATCATTCCCTTCAATGCTACTTTACTTGTAGCTTTTCTATCACATTTTTATCTGTCTTCTGAATGTTTACAAGTTTGTGTATAGGTTTTTTTATATGTAGTTTCTAGAACTTTTGTCAAAAATGATTGCACCAGACAAGTTAAACAGGTAAGGAAGACTTTATTCAAGACAGAACTCTACACTGCCTTAAAAAAGGTAAGAAAAATTCTAATCATTGGGGTGAACTAATGTAAAAGTATTAGAGGATATTAGGTAGGAGGACAGTCAATGTAGTTAGGCCACCTGTGTTTGCTAATTGGCGTTTATCTAAGTTAGGCTGCCACCCTAAGGCAGAGACCGGGAGATAGAGGCACTGCCTTCCTTGATAATTATGTTTCGAAGTGATGGCTCCCTGGTCCTTAAGAAAGACATTCCTGGATTGTAAAACTGGGAAGAGATTATGAGAAAATTTATAGCTCAAAGGGTCAGTGGAAAAATTTACAACTGCACGATTTCTGAAATAAATGCTCTAAGAAGAGAGAGGTCATGGACTTACAGTCAGAAAGAAACTTGTGTAATGGTTACTCAAGCTGAGGAGAACATTCAGACCATCTATTCAGTACTGAAAAATAAATGTGGTTTACTCAGTGGAGAGTGGAGGCAATTACCATATGTTTTTAGATATGGTCTTCTATTTATGCAGTCCAAAAATCCATCTGCTGTTTGGTGACTCATGTAAATTTATCAATTTAAATGACTCACATAAATCTCTTATCTAAAATGACTAAAGCTATTGACAAAAATGTAAGGACTTTTCTTGCATTCTACACTTGATCTCTTCATATATTTTATGATGCTTCTGTCTTTGAGTCATCTTAGTATTCACTTTATAATTACTTATTTTATATTGCCATCCAAAACTTTGGAAAAGTATTAAAATGATAATGATAAAGTGACAGTGTATAGGTTATCTATTTTTTTTAAGTTCAAAAGTACATTTATTTAAAATGTGGGCAAGATATCAATATAAAAGAAAACAGAGTATAAGAAATAAAAATAATCAAAGTACAAAACATTTCAAATCTTTAACATCCATAATTTAGAGATAGCAAGGTCTTTATTTACACCATTTTATTCGTGGCTGAAGTCCCGTAACGGTTGTGTGAAAACATTTAGAAACCTGGCAAATGAATCATAAAACCTAATGTGGGCTCTTACAGTCATATAATACAAAACATAATTTATGTTTCCTCAGAACAAAACTGCACATCTCAATGAGATGCAATATATTTATTGTATTTGTTTATCTATTTTTATTAGAACCCTTAGGCTCCTATTAATTAAAAATGGATTTATATAATTATATTAATATTTAGATCCTGAGTCTCCACTTGTTCCTAAGTGCAGACATGTGCCAAATAACAATGTTTTGGTTAATGATCAACAACATACACAACAGGGGTTCTATAAGGTTATATTAGCTAATCTATATAGCTTTGTTGTGTAGTAGGCTATACCATCTAGGTTTGTATAAGTACTCTTTATGATGTTTGCACAACAATGAAATCAACTAACAGCACATTTCCCAGAACTTATTCCCAAAGTTATATGATGATTGACTGCATTTGCCAAATACCGTGCCAAAATTCAGATGTACAATATCCACACTTTTCCCCAAATTGTAATAAACAAAGGAATAAGTATAATGTGATGTGAATATTTTTGGAGTGATTTTCTCTTGCTATTGACATTAGTCCAGTATTTCCTTTATTATTCTCATGATTTAGACCTAATATTTAAAAGTTTTATGTTTGTTCTTAGTATATTTTCTGAGCTTCATCTTATATTCTTCATAGGAAAGACTCTTTTGTTAATTTTACTTTATTTTTCTTATTTCATGATTACCCATTTATCTATTTTCTTTTCAAAATATTTGTATAAACATTTTTTGGCCAGAATGTAATTATTTCTTTTTCTAAAAAATAGTGTTAGAAGATAAGGCACTTTTTCTCTTAATTGTTTTATTATCCTGAAATTAAATCCTCCCAAATCTGGATGCATGCATGTGTTTTATATTTCTCCTTTATCACGAGGTGGTCCTAACCCTCAGTTACTTGTAAAATAATTGACTCCTTATGCGATTATTTTGCAACATTAATGTCTCTCATGAATACTTTGAAAGAATTATTTCACTCTTTGGCAATTCTAATGCCCTTGACTTTGTAGGGTGCCCTTGTCAGTCCTCTGTGGGCCCATTTCGTTTCTTTTAGAAGAAAGTAATAATATTCTGTTGAGATAATGACCTTTAGTTTTAACTTTTATGAAAAGAGAAGTGAATTTTTATGATCGAATTCATTTAATGATCACTAAATCTCAAAAATTTATGAAGAAGGTATTCCTTTTTTTAAAAAAAGGTATAAATAGACTATGTTTTGAAAGCTCTTAATGACTATTTAAAATATTTTTTAATTTTAATCTATGTGAATTGAAATACAATTGAAATATTAAATTTAAAGGTCATGAACTCTATTAAGTATGAAGTAAATAATTAATCATGCTTTGACCCTTTTTTAAAAAAACCTGAATATCTGAAAGAGAAAAATTCATTGTGAATTCTGATAATTTGTTCTAAAAATAGCTGAAATGTGTTGCATTAAGCATATAAGTAATGATCATGATCACGATAATTGATTGATTTTCTTAGTGTTAGTAAAATTCCATTAGTAATACAATAATTAGTTATATAGCATAATTAAAGAATTTTCAGAATTAAAGGCACATTTAAAATCAAAGATTTAGTCTTTTGTAATCATGAATGGAAGTCTCACACGTTCTTGAGTTATGATAAGGTTATAATTCTTTGAAAAATAATGAATCTGGATTTAACATCTGTACTATAGAATAATCATTATCAAATTAAATTATTATTATTTAATAAATTATTTAATTATTTATTAAATTAAATGATTAAATCATTATCAAATTTAAGATGTGTGAAAAGTTCTCATATTTTTTAAGGCATGAATTTGGATTTAATTACATTGAGCATAATGTGTTGAATAGAGTCCTTCTGATAACGAATGAGCCTGGCTTCTCAGTATGGTTATGATGCTGTTGATGTGGTTATGATGCTCTCGGTAGAATACACAATGCTTTAGCAAGGTGAAAGAAGAAACCACTTGTATTAGCTTCATAGGGCTGGCATAACAAATTACCACAAATTGGGTGGCTTAAAACAACATATATTTAATCTCTCACAAACCTGGAAGCTGTGAATTTGAAATCAAGTTTTCAGCAGGGCATGCTGCCTCTGAAGGCTTTAGAGAATTCTTTCTTGCCTCCTTCTAGCTTCTGGTGATTGTCAACCATCCTTGGCCTTCCTTAGCTTGTAGCTTCATCATTCTAATCTCTGCCTCCATCTTCACATAGCTATGTTCCCTCTGTGTTTGACTGTGGTTTCACATGGCCTTCTTAGAAGGACACCAGTCATTGGATTATTAATGTGACCTCAAATAACCACATACATTTTTATTTTCCTCATCTTAATTTCCTGATCTAAGTAGGAATATGTTACCTTACAGAATTTTCGTGAGGATCAAATAGGAAGTAATTTGTGAATGATAAAGTACTGGGGAAATGTTTGGGTCCTTTTTTAACCTGTGATAGTGAGCAATGGAAGCATACATTTCTCCCCAGGGGCACTGTCACGGCCCAAGAGCAGAATTAGTGAAGCAGAAGACTCCAGCTGACAGCTGGGCACACTGGATCTGGAGCACAGGACTAGGTAGAGATCTGGGAAACATCTGCAGGAAAGGGGCAGTTTAAAGGCTTTGAAAATTTACTCATAAAATGCATATTTTGAATTCTAATTTTAAATTAGTGTTAATATTGTAAAAATGTAAAACATGTATCAAATCATATACAACTTCTAAAATATTGTATTTTTTAAATCATGTGAAGAAAAAATGATTTATTAATATGGAATCAAAGATATGTCTGAGATCTATATTTTAACCTGGCATAATAATCTTCTTTAAAAATGCACACAGGTGTAAAACATTGACATTCTTATTCTTAAGATGGCCGGGTAGCCATAGTTTGTAGATTCCATTGAGTTAAGAGTCCTGGTCATCCATGCATTTTGGGGAGGCAAGGCATTTCAACACAAGCTCTCTGGGTGAAGAAAAGTCAGAAAGAAATAGAGTCAAAGAATACAAAATTTCAGTTAGACAGAATAAGTTCAAGAGATTTATTATACAAAAATAGTTATAGTTAATAGATTATAGTTAATAATACATTGTATTCTTGAAAAATACTTGTGAAATGTTCTCACCACAAAAATGATAACTATGTGAGGTAATGCACATGCTAATTAGTTAGATTGTAGCCTTTTGCAACATATATGTGTGTGTGTGTTTGTGTATATATACATATATATATATTTCAAAACATCATTTTGTACCTGATAAATACATAATTTTATCTGTCAACTTAAAAATTTTAATAAAAGAAATGGGCTGAGTCTAAGGTGAGGGCCAACTGAGACGTATAGCTCCTCCCATAGTGGTCACAGCGACTGAATACATGAATGAATGTATTCCTGTCCACTTGACAGAAGTCTAAATAGGTTGTCATCACTTAAGTTGGCAGGAATTCATTCATTTACTCATTCATTCAACTCACCTACTGCGTTACTACTAAGCATTAGGAACTGTGTTAGATGCCGAAGATATAAATGAACCAAGCATAGCACCTACTTCGACTTAAAATCTAATAGAAAAATAACATTTAAATTAGTATTATTTATTTGTTAATGATAGTTGATTTTTTGTGAGCATTTACGTGGCTAAAGACTTTAAATAAATCATTAAAAAATCTCTGAGCTGAAAAAAACAAAGCTCTACCTTAATTAGTGCCTGCAGTTGTTAAGGGTTGTGAAGAGCTGGAACTGAAAATTAATATTTAATTTTATATAAGTTTATGCATGGAATGTGGAAATAATTATTTTGAATCATAATATTATAAAGTTGAAGTAGAAAAAAGAAAAGAGCTTACTGTTAGAATTGGAAGTTTTTAGAGATCCTCATTTTACACATAGGGAAATAGTAACTGAGAGTTAGCAAATGAGAGGTTTAGGTTTAATTCTAGTATTTGGGGATAGATTTGATGATTTGGTTTTGAAACTGATTTTTATTACTGTGTGGTTATTGTTTTTTACACTTTAGGTAGACAGAATGATCTTAAAAAAAAAAAGAAAAAATATGTTCAAAGCTCTTTTATATATCAATAAAATTCTTAAGCAGGTTTCTATTGCTCTTAAAAGAATGACCAAAATATTTAATTGGCCCATACTGCCTGAGAGGCCTGGTCCCCTCTCCAACCACTGGCTTCCTGCATCACAGCAACCAGCTGCTTCTCTTTCTCCGAGAATTATAAAGCTGCCTCTGCCTTCACCTCTACACATACTGTTTCCTCCACCTAGATTTCCCCTTCCTTCCACTTGCATGTCAACCTCAGTGTCTTCTTCAAATCTCAGCTCAAACATCATTTACTGAGAGATGGCTTCCTTGACCTTTTCAATTTAGCAAACTCCTCCTGCAATGTGCTCACATAGCTTTCTAAAATATTCTTTATGATTGTAAGTTATTTTTTGGATTATTCAGTATGTCACCCTCATGTCTTGCCCCGAATTCCCCTAGAACAGAACTGAGACAAAGGATCTGTGTGCTAGTAGTTTAATGTGGAATGGATCCCATGAGTAGGGGTGAGAGACCAGACAGAGGGAAGTTAAAGTAAGAAAAGAAGAAAGGCCACCACAGCCTACATGTACTCTGTCCCACTGGGGCTCATAAGAAAATTTGTGAAATGCACCTCAGGACTGTTTGTCTTACAGATGAAAGAGGAAATCATTGCCTCTTGCCCTTTTGGTCCAGGGTGGCCCATAACATTTGTGCCTGAATTCTGGTTTGCAAATTTAAAACATGCTGAGCAGATCCCCATGAGATACTATTCCCTGGAGAGGGGAGCTGGGGAGGTGGAAGTCCAAGGTGGGGCACTGTTAGTTTGTATCTCTCCAAAGTTGCACCACAGCAATGACATGAATAAAAGGTGGGATGGGGGGATTAGATGTGGGCCATGGGAGTTACACCATCTCAGAATATAAGAGCAAGATCTATGACTATATTCCTAATCATTATATACTTACCACCTTGGTTCATGCCTGGCATATAGTAAACACTCAATAAATGTTTTTAGTAATCAGTGCAGTGTAGGAATTCCTTCCTGTTATATTATGACATTTTTCAAATCATAATTTGTGAATTATAAAATTTAAGCCTGCTGTATTTCAGACTAAATGCTCCTTTTTAAGATACTGTGTTTAACTTCTATCTTGATTGGGTAGAAATTTAGTGAATTTGACCTCAAAATTTATGAGCTATTATGCCACATTCAATGATTAGTTTCCATTTAAAAAGAAAATATTTGGTGCATGTGAAGTGGTAGTTTTATCTGGCTCAGGGTTTAGTGGTGTCAAAGTTTTTCTTTCCCTCAGAAGGAAAAATGCAATGTTGCCATCTTAGTTCATAAATATTAGAGATTGAGTATGGGCATTTCAATATCCTTCTGCTTCCCTGTTATTGGGGACAGTTAAATGGATAATAAAGGATTATATTGAGTGACAAATATGAATAGATAGCTGGGCACAGGATATGTTAAAGCAGACATCTAAAAGAATTTAAAAATTTGAAAGAGAGAAGGAAAAAAACCCACCAAGAACAGAAAAATAGAACAGCCATTCTACACAGGACTTCTGAATAAACTTTGCAAACATCAATATATTTCGTGCATCCATCTGATTCCATTTTATGTTCAAATGTCATTGCATGGGAGAGAATTTCTTGTCCCTGTTTTCTAAATTACCAAGTTCTTCCTTGCCCTTTCAAATTCTAGAACCTTCTTTTGCTGCATTTTTTGTTCCTGGTGTTTACCCTCATCCAACATACTCTATATTCAGTTGTTAATATATTGGTATTAATTATTATAACATATTAAGAGATTTATTGTCATTAGACTCTGAGTTTCCTGGAACAGATGGTTTTCTCTGCTGCTTTATCTTCAAAGTCCAGAATAATTATTGGCATGAAATAAATGCTTAAAAAATATTTAAAGAATGACTGACCAATCAAAAGAATGCATGTATCAGTCTAGAGTAGGAGTTGGAAAACTACAGCCTGCCTCCTGTTTTTGTAGGTACAATTTTATTGATATTAATATTCATTTATATATTATCTCTGGCCATTTTCTCACTACAACAAAAAATTGGAGTAATTATGATAGAACATTTGGCCCACAGAGTTGACAATATTTACTATCTGACCCTTTACTGAATAGGTGAGTCAATTACTGTATGGAGTCCCAGCACACAAAAAGGCAGGATTTGTAATTATAATTCTCATTTTCTAAAAGTCATAGACTTTGAATTTCTTTCATTTTTCATCGTATATATGTTTATATATTTTATTGATATTTTCTGAAAGCCATGTAAATGATATCATAACTTCTGTTCTTCTCTAAGTTAATTTTTGTCCTGTACCTATAACTCTTCTTAAGGGGAACAGTAGGCTGGGCATAGTGGCTGACACCTATAATCCCAGCAGTTCGAGAGGCTGAGGTAGGAGGATTGCTTGAGCCTGGGAGTTCAAGACCAGTCTGGGCAACATAGGAAGATCTCATCTCTACAAAAAATATATTAATAGTAAATTAGCTAGGCTTGATGGTCCCTGCCTGTAGTCCCAGCTACTTGGGAGGCTGAGGGGGGAGGATCACTTTTGCCCAGGAGGTAGAGTTTACAGTGAGCTATGATGCAGGCAACTGCATTCCAGCCTGGGCAACAGAATGAGAACCTCTCTCAGAAAAAACAAACGAACAAACAAACAAACAAAATGGGGGTGGTGGAATGGCTGCAAGAAGAATAGATAAAAGAATTGCATATGTTTTCCTAGAAATATATCTCTGAATTTAAATATAGAATATGCTTGATTCTACTCAAATATTGCCATTAACTAGATGTGTAACCTTATATCACATAAACATATAGAAAGACATATTTTCTTACCTGAATATTGGCTAGATTAATTCTCAAGATGTTCTGGCTCTAAAATTCTCATATCAATGATTATCTATATAAACATCGAGGATATAAATTTTGAGGGTAAATAAGAAGCCAGTTCAAGGTGTATCAGGTCAAGAATTTTTTTTCTCAATAAAGTATAAAACTGACAGAAAACAAAAAGTATATAATGCTTTAATATTTTTTCCATATCAAGCTGACAGAATGTGACAAAGAACTAGACTAGATTGGGATCATTGTTATATGCACTAGAATGATGAAGTCCTAACATTGTTCAAAACAAGATTTAATAACTCAGATGTTTGAGATTGTACTGTGGGGTATTGTGATTGATTTTTTTTTTTCAAGCTAAAAAAGTCAGGTTACTTCATTTTTGAGAGTGTGTTAAGGAGGTTTGTGGTTCTTGTTTTTCTAAAAAAAAAAAAAACTTACATTTCTCTCTCAGTTACTCTGAGGCAGAAAATGGGATGGTATTTAGACTGAATGAAGACAGGGATTTCTTTTGAATGAAGACGATTTAGGATGAAGCATAGAAATTGTTGTTAATGAAAATTGATTTACCCTGCCATGTGAAGGCTTGCCAGGAGTAAGCCATGTAACCAGAGGCTAGGTTCAAGCACTGGTCACTCTTAATTGAAATCATTATCTATTTTCTCTGTTACATATCCACCCACCTTCCCCAAGTTTTCCTCAAGGTCTCATTGACTGTTATAAATTTGTGCAACTTGTTTTTGTCAGAAGAAGCTGTTTATTTTCCTGGGGTGCTGAACACTCTCCTAAGGACCAGAGAGAATCAACTTGCATTTACCTGTGGAAGAAAACTTTGCCCATTGGACTTGCTCTCCTTAAAAAGCTGTTATTCTTTTCTGTTCAAGAGTAGAGTGTAAGCAATGAAGGAAGACCCAACCTAGGTCACACCCTGGCTCTATCATTTCTGTAGCTATGGCCAAATTAGTGATTATTGCTTCATTTGTCAAATCATAATACTCATGCAGGGGTTTCATAAGATTGCCAAGGATTAGAAGATATCATCGTAAAAATT